CAATATCACTCAAAATGTCTGAATATGTTTTCAACGGACCTGGATCTTCCCTTGGTGGCGTAATGTGGTCTGTATATTCTAGATCAAACAGCCTGCCAACTGGGAGTACATCAATGCCAGTATACTCGCATGATATTAGGGCGATTGGAGAAGCCATGGTGTTCCTTTCACTTGTTCGTAGATTTCACCGCCGAATTCGAGGTATGTTTGTAGACACAGGTCCGTCAGCTCGCAGATATATTTGTTATCCAGTGTTTGGTGTATTTGTCGTTCTTCTGGAAGCTCTTTCAGTGTTTTTCTGGTCAGATTGACCGTGGTAATGGGCAAGACAGGTTTCATCAGAAAGGCAAACCAATTATTCCAAGACACAACTACGTATCGCACAATGAACATAGATCTAACTTCGTAACTCGCCAGCAAAATCAACGCAACGCTGAAAAGTCTGGAATAGTTACACCAAATTAACAAATAAGAACATTGGCGACTGAAAGCAAACGACTCAAACACGGCTCAATAATACGGACTACCAAACACACACAAAAATAATGTTCCGCTTACACCGATATTTTCGCTTCCCGAAACAGCAAACTACAGATTGGCTAAAGAATTGTGGAAAAGCCTCAAACCTCTTATCGCCGGCTACGAACACTCCATCAATAACGCCAAACAATTCCTAGAAAAACTAAAGGATGTAAATATTGATGCAGATGAAATAATGATATCCTTCGACGTCACCGCGCTATTCACCTCCATCAACCTCGATCTGGCCAGAGAAACACTGAAGGAGCTTCTAGAAGAACGACAGATACACCAAACACTGGATAACAAATATATCTGCGAGCTGATGGACATATGTCTACAAACATACTTCGAATTCGACGGTGAAATCTACGAACAGGTGAAAGAAACACCCATGGGTTCACCAATTTCCGGATTCGTTGCTGAAGCCGTAATGCAAAAACTTGAAAGAACCATTCTACCAGAACTTCAGCCCAATCTCTGACTTAGATATGTAGATGACACATTCGTGATCTTAAAGCGATTGGAAGTGGACAGAACCTTCAACAGCATCAACAACATCTTCCCGGATATCAAGTTCACCATGGAAACGGAACAAAATGACAAATTGGCATTCCTCGACGTCCTAGTAACAAGATCATTGTCCGGACCACTAGAAACATCAGTATACAGAAAGAAGACCCACACGGATCAAATTCTGGGATACATGAGCAACCACCCAACCTGCCACAAGAGGAGTTGCATTCGAACACTTTTCGAAAGAGCAAAAACACACTGCAGCACTGAAAAGTTGAGGCAGAAAGAGGAGAAATACCTCTATGAAGTATTCCTCCGCAACGTCTACACCCGCAACTTCGTCCAACGAACAATAACTCCAACACAGCAACACAAAAGGACAAAGGGACAATCGGATAAGCTAATAACCCTACCGTATGTGAAGAACATTTCGGAAATGACCACGAGAATATTGAAACCACACAACATTCACGTCGCCCACAAACCAACGACAACCCTGAGGAGAATCTTATCAAAAACCAAGAAGCAACAGGAAGACGAAAATCGAACAAATGTGATCTACCGCATCAACTGTAAGGACTGCAACAAGTACTATATCGGTCAAACAGGTAGAAAACTAGCAACTCGTGTGCACGAACACAAACTGGCCGTCAGAAGACACGATGCGCTCTCACTCATCTCAATCCACGAGGACCGAGAAGGACACAACTTCGATCTCAAAAACATCAAAGTCGTCGATCAGGCGCGCGCCAAGTACGCAAGAGAATTTCTGGAGGCCTGGCATTCATCGGAAAACTCGGTCAACCGACACGTTGACATCGATCAAGTCTACAACCTCATGCAACAAAAGGACCAATCAACGCAAAGAAGGTGGGTCGTGTCACACGTGACACGACAGGACAACAGTAACGCTTAGACTGATCGATCAACGGCCAGCCGTCAAACTGCTCGTGTCCACCTCATCCCCTATCGGCACAAGGCGAACAAACCTTGGCCAATCAGGCAACGCCGCATCACTCAATGACCTATATAAGGAAGAGGACACTCGTAAGCGTTCACCCAGTTACTGCATTGAGAATATCACCTCGATTGGTGGTGAAACGTTTGCAATACAATTGCTAAACTCGGCGAACAACTGAACATCATATATATGTATATATAACTTCGGTTTCAGACTGTATGCAAATTAAATAATGATGAAAGTGTTTAAGAAATAGAAGCAAGAGTAGCTATGGAATAAGAACGAGTGAACGGATGAGTCATAGAAAAGACGAAATAGCCATTCGGTGCTCTTTGTCAACCATCACCATTCTGTATAGATGTATAGTTCTGGCGATAAGGTGCACTCGTTTGGCTGAATACTTACCTTTTTCTGTGGTTTTGCGTCTCTATAACTTACTCATCTATCAAATAGGCCATAGTAGGATATCCGACGATGGTGAACAGATATTTATTATATTATATATTATATATTATATTATATTATATTATATTATATTATTGGTCCAAACCACATCATTTAGACTAATATCGCGCTGTTTATTCACAGACCGAAAAACCAAAAACGTTTTTGCGAGGAGTTCAAATACATCATTTGAGGTAGTTTGAACTTTGAAGAAACCATGTTTCTCATACAACAAAAGGAAATTCATCGATCACAGATATGCTCAGGGCATTATTATGTGGAATAATTCCATGTGAAAGACAGCAAAAAACACGATATCTATACACAATTCATATCCATTTGATTTTGAATTTACCAGATCAGTCTTTGGAATTTTCTTTTTCATCATCTTCTCACAATCATTGATCATGATCACGGACGGTTGCAACAGTCGAGCAACTTTGAACACCATGTGTACGAGCATTCTCAATCCGTCTTTGCCCGGATACTTGCCAACCAGATTGTCGGCTGACAGGTCAAACAGATTAGCCCCAGTTTCCGTGCAAATCGCATTCACCAACATCCGTTTCCCTGTTCCCTGTGGCCCGGCCAGAAGGATTGATTTAATCCACGGAGCTTTCTCGTGAACGGCTTGAGAACCTGTGTTGATGGGATAGGGGGCAGGCGATGCGGCTTTCATTAAATGAAAGAACACCTGCGACGGACGTAGCAAATATGGCTTCATAGTTTGTTCCTTCACGTGTATTTCCAAAAATGGTATTTTAGTATCTGAGAAGGCTATTCTCAGACGCCTTCAGCGGTCTATAAACATTCCCAGCGATCTGTTGCAGTTTGCTTACAAGCTTAATAGATGCACCTTGAACGTAGTTTCTACCCTTATTTATTTTATCACTAAGTCTTTGAACAACTCTGCTAAGACTGTTCGGTGTTTTTTCTGGACTACTCTACTGCATTTGATTCCATTCCTCGATCTAAGTTGTTACAAAAACTGGAATCGTTTGAATGCCCCAAACAGTTGTTAACTTGGCTATCCAACTACTTTACTGATAGAGTACAAACCACGAGATTGGGGAAGGCTTCATCCAAACCCTTAATCAACAACTCCGCAGTTGTTCAAGGAGCTGTGCTATCCGCATACTTATTTTCTGCTTATATTTGTGATATTCCTCATGTTTCTCCAGCAGGAATTTTGAAATAGGTAGATGACGTCATGCTGTGTCAACCCACTTCTTTCAAATTCAATCAAAGCTCCTTTACCAACAATCTGGAACAAATTCTCCTCCTCATCGGGGCTAACCTTAAACCTCAGTAAATGTATTGAGTTATTATATAGTTTTGCTCGCTCTTCATATTCGACAGACCCCACAGTGATTAATAACAATCCTTTATCCAGGGTGAACTCTGTCAAATGTCTTGGTGTAACCATAGATAGCAATCTTCATTGGTTTACCCACATCCACAACAACATTGGTAAACTGCGGCGCCTATCATTTCAAATTCGAAAGCTCAGGCAGTTTCGCGCATCCCAGTCAGTTATTTCAACCTTTGTTTATCAGTATGTTTTCCCCATCTTACTCTACTGCTCCCCAGTTATTTTTCCTGGCTTACTCAAACCGGGTTTCAAAGTATTGCGCCGCGGTCTAACTATTATTAGGCGTGTCTTTTCTGTTCCTTTGAATGAGTTAGCTTTGAAGCTTTCAGAGTATCACGTATCTTCCTGTGTGAAATTTACTGAAAGGATTCTCTCAAATCCTGACCACCCATTGCACGAAAACCTGATAAGTTTTCGTTCCTATCATTCAACACGCTCCCGATTCCGTCAAATTTCATCTCGAATTAACACTTACCGCAGTTCACCTATACTATATCTTGCTCGTCTACTCATAAACAAAGAGCGAATAATAAGGTAACTTTGTCTTAACCTTGGATTATGAAATGTCCCCATGTCTGTGAACATTTTCTCCCAGTTTATCATGTACATTGTAACGGTTGGCGTGTATGATTTTTTAACTGAAATGTGAGCCCCAGTGATTGCAAAAGTTATACACAATACAATACAATCTTTCATCAGAATCATATTACACCAGCTTGTACCTCCATAAATTCGATCTATCCTAAATAATAATGCGGTTTTCAGTAGATAATTAATTGTAAATAATTCCTCGTGTATAAAACTATATGTTCATTACGGTGGTTTGAGGATGCTGAATTTTCAATCTGTTAGCACTAAGAAACAGTAATTAAAGACATGTTTTCCCCAGATATTATGACGTTTTTAAGTATTTTTATTACACACGAATTGATTTATAGCAAAAGGGGTAAACTCCATAATCAATGATGTACTGGGCGGTAGTGGCCAAGTGGTCAGGTCACCAAATAGTGACCTGGGTGTCCCGAATTCAAACCTCTCCACCGCCGCTCGTCTTCCCTATATCTGTATTTTCCCCAGACAGCCTTTGAATGGCCGCAACCCCCTTCCTGAAAGTTGACTGTACATTTTTATTTTCAATAAATAGAAAAAACAAGTAAAAAGGGGGAGGTATTTGGGGAACATTCAAGTAAGAATCAATTTGTTAATCCTGCTTTTGAAACGGGTAAGGTGATAAGAAACCAAAATAGTATTGATAGAAAAGAGATAACGAAGCAACTGCCCGGCGGTGGGAAAATGACTACAGATTGGAAGTTAAAGACGGTTCGTCAATCAACCGGATGGCCTTACGTTGAAAACGGTCGAGGAGAGAAAGAGCTCCACCCCATACGTGACAGCAGTATTCGAGCATCGGGCGGATTTGAGCTTTGTATAAAAGAAGAAGGTGCTTGGGTGTAAAAAAAACGCCTTCTGCGGAATAGAAAACCAACTTCGGGAGCAGCGTGAGAAGTAATTGTAGAAATAAAAGGGGACCAACAGAGAGAAGAATTTATGGATAAACCCAAGAGGAAGAGAGAATTTTGTGAAACGAAGGGGCAGAGAATCAAAAATCAATTGAGGAGAATAGGGGAAACGTTTAAGAGAGACTGAGAGGGGAGGTTTTCGAAGCACTGAAACAGTTTTTCAGTTTCAGTTTTTACAACCATTAACCATGCACTTTCGTGCACCGGTTTTGGTTGCTGTCTTTGGTTGCCCATTTGGATAAAAAGAGCGAAGTGAAGATTAGAATGTCTAGGCAAATTCAAGCGGAAGATGGGGAATACATATAGAGTGGTGTTAGAAAAATAACGAGTGGATGCACGAGCGCCACTGTTTGCGACACCCAGCCATATCACACAGTGTAGCTAACCATCAGTGACCATCATCCCGAGGTCCCCTTCCAGGGAGCCTAACGGGACCTATGTGAGCCAGTCTCCTGTTTAGGGTTTTCATACCCTCATGCCAGGTCTTAACTTGACCGCCCTTCGTTTTTTTCCAATCGCTACAAGTTGACTGATCATTCTAATTCCTTCACCCGTTGATTTGCAGACCAATACGTGTCCCTTGATTGTGGATCCATCATCGCGCGCAGTGAATTGGTTGAAAGTTCACTTAAAAGATCAACGTTTGGAAGTGGTTAACCAACACGTATGTTTCCATTTTGGGTACATACAGATAATGAAAAACTGTTATCAGTGAATGCATTGAACATAGCGGTGATAACAACGTCATCATTTTTTATGCATGTACTGTAGTGACCGTCGAAGTTGGTTCACTCCATGGATATCTGATGTCAGTCCAGTTGATTTGGGGCTTCTGAATATTTTTCCACTTGACAATTCATAAGCGAATGTTTTCAGTTTGATTTGTATCCAGTAAAACACCGATATGTATTTGGATATTCAGCCTTCATGTGAATAATGCACCGGTGTTTTACACCACTCATTCCTCTGACGGCAGTGACAGACGAGGTTTATATGACGTGTTGTTCTCTTGTGTGGCAAAACTCCTCGGGTTACTCAGGATTTCCCAAGTGGATGTATCACTGAAATGACAACCACCTATGCAGTGTTCTGGTAGTGGTTCAGGGTTACGCGAAAACCCTATAGTTAGATGGACAACCCCAGTTGATATCTCCTAAAATGCTGTTCACAAAAGTTCACAAATGTTTATTCACCATTTTTATTTGATGTATGATTTCAGGTTATTTTTGATGCACATCTCGCATGATGAACTTTTGCGTTGCAGTGACCATAGTTCGACGAAATGTTCAGTTCAGTTCAGTTCTGGCAACCATTAACCAGTCACCTTCGTGCTCCTGTTTTGGTACCTGTCTTTTGGTTGCCCATTTGGATAAAATAGCAGAATGATGATAAGAATGTTGAGAGCAGATTCAAGCAG